GACCTGAAGTGCCAGACCCCTTCAAACATCTGAGACCACGACAATGACCTCTGGGATGATGTATGAATTCTAACTCTGTAGACCTGTGATACGAATTGGATAGCAAGAGCTGAGTTCACTCTGGGACAGGCGCGATGGGAGATTATTCCCATCATTAATATTATTACCATATTCTCCGCAATAGAATGCACATATTTTTTCCCCCTCCCTTGGTACGTTAAAGCAATGATTTTGCGGGGTGTGCGTTTTATCGTCCGGTGCGTGTGTGAGGCCAAATTTGTATAACTTTATTAACACGACATCTGGGGTGCGTCTTACTTTCCGGAGTGTCTTATAATGTGGAGAATACGGTAATGTTAAACAAAACGCACGGCTACTCAATCCACTGCTGGATAAACACCACCCCATACCGTGCCACTCATCATTGGGGTTTGGTGGCGTGAGGGCTCACGGTTGATGGATTTATAAATCTCTTCTCACTGTTGTTAGCCGTGGTCGGGAATCGAACTCAGGTAGCCGGGTTCATCGTGTTAGTGCGCTAACCGCTGCACCACTGCTCCACCTCATTACTGCTACTATTATCATATTCAAACTTCCGGTATCGTCTATACTTCACAATGTAATTCCTGTGAATTATGTGAGTGGGCTGTCTGTAAATGGATCACACTAAATACGGGGGGGGGGGGGAACCTGCGGATCAGGAGCCGCGCGTGCGGCGGCTCTGTTAAGGACAGCCACGTGACCGTGATTTATTAAGGACCCACCACCGTCTCGTGTTCGCCACACGCAGTGCATTGCGGCTCTCTTGAAATATTTCAGATTTTTTTTATTTTTTTTATTATTACTACATTATTCGAAGACAACGCCTCTTCTTCTTGTTGTTGTTATTTCGATTCGGCGGCCAACTGCACACTGGAGACAATAGCTAGCGAGCATCTTGACATCGATGGCCACGGTGAAGAAGCGCCAAAATTGCCGTTGAGTTTGTAGCCCGAGGTAGTGAGAGGATGGGGGGGGGGGTATGTTTAGTCCCACTAGAGGGAGCCAGGCAACAGGGCCGCTGTGTGGAGTGAGAGCTGTCAGGTCACAGTGAGAGCTGTGTGGAGTGAGAGCTGTGTGGAGTGAGAGCTGTGTGGAGTGAGAGGTGTGTGGAGTGAGAGCTGTGTGGAGTGAGAGCTGTGTGGAGTGAGAGCTGTGTGGAGTGAGAGCTGTGGGGAGTGAAAGCTGTTTAGAGTGATAGCTGTCAGGTCACAGTGAGAGCTGTGTGGAGTGAGAGCTGTGGGGAGTGAGAGCTGTTTAGAGTGATAGCTGTCAGGTAACAGTGAGAGCTGTGTGGAGTGAGAGCTGTGGGGAGTGAGAGCTGTTTAGAGTGATAGCTGTCAGGTAACAATGAGAGCTGTGTGGAGTGAGAGCTGTGGGGAGTGAGAGCTGTTTAGAGTGATAGCTGTCAGGTCACAGTGAGAGCTGTGTGGAGTGAGAGCTGTGTAGATGAGAGCTGTTTAGAGTGATAGCTGTCAGGTCACAGTGAGAGCTGTGTGGAGTGAGAGCTGTGTAGATGAGAGCTGTTTAGAGTGATAGCTGTCAGGTCACAGTGAGAGCTGTGTGGAGTGAGAGCTGTGGGGAGTGAGAGCTGTGTGGAGTGATAGCTATCAGGTCACAGTGAGAGCTGTGTGGAGTGAGAGCTGTGGGGAGTGAGAGCTGTGTGGAGTGATAGCTGTCAGGTCACAGTGAGAGCTGTGTGGAGTGAGAGCTGTATAGAGTGATAGCTGTCAGGTCACAGTGAGAGCTGTGTGAAGTGAGAGCTGTGTGGAGTGAGAGCTGTTTAGAGTGATAGCTGTCAGGTCACAGTGAGAGCTGTGGGGAGTGAGAGCTGTGTGGAGTGAGAGCTGTGGGGAGTGATAGCTGTCAGGTCACAGTGAGAGCTGTGTGAAGTGAGAGCTGTGTGGAGTGAGAGCTGTGTAGATGAGAGCTGTGTGGAGTGAGAGCTGTGGGGAGTGATAGCTGTCAGGTCACAGTGAGAGCTGTCAGGCCACAGTACCAATCGCTGTCGTCAAAACCGCAGGTGGAGGAGGAGGTGGAGGTTTGGGAGTTGCTTTCAAATAAATGAAGCAATTGGCGGGACCCCGGGGTCCCATAACTGCCCCGGGGTGGGAAAAACCGCGTAGCGACACGAGTCTTGCCTTACCGACAACAAAACTAGTGGTCAATCGATTGGCCTCGTCGAGAGCTACTCGGGGCACTAAGTTTCGTAAAAAGTTGAAAAATTACATAAACACGTTAAATTCACCGCCTGGGGGGCGGGCTCGCCTTGGCAAAGAAGCTGAGGATCGACGGCTGACCGGAGGGCGTCGTCGCCGCGCGCGACTGCGGCGGACGCCCCCCGGGGCTTGCGTTTGGCCGGTGGGGTGGCGCCCATCGTGGTGATCGCCGCCTGCTGCTGCTGGCGCTTGTTGGCGCGAGTCTGGGCGGGCGGCGCGTTGCTGTCGGGATCACGAGTGGGGCGGACTGAAGAAAAAATAATAATTGACCTGATTATTGCGGGACCCCGGGGTCCCGCCAAATGATTCAAATAACTAAATAAATGAAAACGAGCTTCTCTCTCCTCTCAGCAACCCAAGGATATTTACCAAATTCCCAGCTCTGTAGGGACGCAATAAAATAAAACTTATTTTCTACGAATTGGCACGCGTTATTTTTTCAATATTGCAAATCCTCTCTCAAATTTTTTGCCGTTCACTTGAATTCCTCTGTGCTGCGTAGGAGCTTTTTTTCTTTCTTTGCCCATTGGTTCTCGGGTTGCTTTCAGGTCATTCCGCGTGCCGTTCGGCACAATTTCCGACGTTTCGCGCCGGAAGCAGCTCCCAGCACGTGGAGCGAAAAGTCGGATATCATGCTGAGCCAAGGAGGCACACTCCTACAACACATGGGAGAGCTATTAAAAGCCCCATAATTGGTTGGCGTTTTCAACTTTTGAACTTGCTCAAGACTGGTAGTCGGTAACCCGTTGCTGGACTCATCAGACTGTGATGAATTATAATCGCTGTTGGACAAAGCAAGACACCAAAGAGCCGTGTGATTAAATCAGTGTCAAAATCTGAGGCGTGAATTCCATTTCCCCCCTCGGTCTCCCCATTTATCACTCGCGCAAGGCTACCGCGCCACCTGCGACTCGCCGTCCACGTGGCCTCCTCTCGCTGCTGTCTCTCAGTGTCACTCCCAGCGTGCGTCTCTCTCTACGACCTCAATCACAGAGTCTGCACAGACCGCACATCCCGCCGTCACGTGTCACCTCGCTCGCCTTCTCGACACGCGCGCGGCAAAAGACGCAGCCCCGCAATCGCTCGCCCCACACCGCTGCTGGCAGAGAGGCCTCCACCACAGAGAGCTGGCCGAGCGTATTCTCCCCCCCCACGCCATCCCGCACCGCCTACTCTTCCACGCTGGTCAGACGTCTTGTAAAAGGTGTGACTGCTCACACGCGAAGCTGCCGATCGGTGTACTGCTGGGTGGACAGAGGCACTAGCAGGGTAGGGGGGTGGGGTGAGATGGAAGAAACCTTCAGCGTTGTTTCAACAGCAGCACCGGGAGGTCGAACCGACGATCTCCGGATTGCACGTGCGGTGGGCTCACCATTGGAACCTCCTCGACACGCGTTGTGTGATCGTCGCGAGGCCGCAACACGCCAAGGAAGCGGGGCACGGCTTCCCTGAAAGGGTGAAGCAACGCAAAAAAAGAAACGACGAAGTGCCACATCAAAGAGTAATTAACAAAAGCTGCACAAACCGCTCGCGAGCCAAGGGTGCATAGCTTGCACGGGTCGCGTTTCCAGTTGCCGTGTCAGCATTTCGGAGCAGTTATCAAAACGAAAGAGTTAATTAAATACGGACCTCATCACAAAGCTCCGCGCAGATACAGCAACACATTCGTTCACCTCATCAATTTGCCTGCCCCCTCGACTTCCTCCGGGCAGCCCAATGTGCGAGTTCGCCCCCCACACATCTGCGAACACCGGCGGGCACGTGTGTGAAAAAGAGCTTGATAGCTCACTGGATTCCTCCACTATGAATAAATAGCCGTAGTATTCTGAGTCTGATTCTGGCACCGCTGCCTCTCGCAGTGTCAGATCAACTCGGGGGGGGGGGGTTAGGGGGCTGCATCCCAAGCCCCCCCCAAATATATATAGAAATATATAACGTGCCTCTTCGTGGTTGAAACGCAAGACTGCAGCACGATGATGATTCCCTACAGGTCAATTGTTCAATCTGTGCAATCTCTGTGCATGTTAGCACCAGTTACGTGCTACGATATATATGATTCACAGACAAACAACACATATTTTTTTTTAAAAATTCCGTTGGCGTTACAATTCCGAAACTGAAATCACCAAGGGTTAATAACAAAGTGTGTGGCAATATCGGTATGGGTGGTGGTAGAACAGTCAAGGGACTGTTTGTAACAGACACGGAGTGAACTCCCTCCCCCGCCCCCCCCAAACTATCAACACATTTTTTATGTTACCAAGATAAAGGCCCACAGAGCTATGTAGCTCTTTTTCAGAAGCGACCTGGCCACAAATGACAGCTCAACGAAGTGGCTTATAATCATCGCGTGGAAATGTATAGAAGCAGCCTAATACCCCAAACGCGTGATGTTGATTCTAAATGTGGAGGGGGAAGAATCCACCCCAGCGAGGGGAGAGCGACATGCAATCTCCAAATATAGAGCAGCCGTCAGGGTTGGAATTGAACCTCCTGTATATCGGGCGAGGTAATTAACATCTCGCCACCGCGTCGCCCCCCCCCCCCCATCAGACGTAACCCGGCCCTGGCTGCGAGCCAACGTGAGGATCAGCGAGGCAGGGTCGGTGGGGGGCGTTCTGTGGTTGGGTCCCAGACCCCGCGTTGTCCAGCGCTACGGTCAATGCGAATGTGGGCGGCTCCAAACACCCCCACTCCACTACCCCCCCCCACCTCCCCCTGGTGCCTGCGCCCAACCCTCTCCCCACCGCGGCGGTGACAGCAATCGGAGAGTTTCCGTGCCGGGCCAGGGTATTTCAGGAGTGCTGGGCAGCGCAGAGAGGGGAGGGCTGCTTCTCCGTGTGGGCACGAGGCTGGCAAGCTCCTCCGCATGCCACAAAGGCTCCCCTGACTTGGGACCAATTTCCTTGGCTCTCACTGTTTTCTGCCGAGACTTGTAGCGCGGAGCACTCTGTCGGCTGCGATTGGCTCGCCTCTGTTTGAGAGTACGGTTTTTTTTAATCGCGTGTAGATTTTTTTTCTTCTTTTTCCGTGGGAGGGGGGGGGGAGTAGAGGCCGGGAGAGAGAAGTAAATGGAATTACGTTTTCGCAGCTAATCTGTGGCTGAATGTAGACGAAACAGTAAATGTTTGCTTAATCAAGCCGGTATTCTGTGAACGCGTTCCGGTTTTTTGTTGTTATCGACTGTTGCGTGCCGAGACGGGGCAAGCATTCCAGGGGATTGACAATTCTTCGCAGTGTGGTTGCACCTTGGTGCGAGGAAGACGTTCCGTTATTCTCCGTGGTGCCAGAGAGGGCCTCAAGAAAACAAAGTCTGCGCCTGGGCTTCAATTAATTTTTTCTGCTTTTTCCAGTGCCGCTCAGATCGTTCGAGGTTGCAGTCAGCATTCGCCTGCCTGACATTGCGTAATGTGTGATAACACATCTGCGTTTTAGCGTTGCGGTTAGGACATTTCAGTGAACATTCTGTTCCACAAGGACTTAGAAAGGGAAATGCGTACCCAACAGTCTCTTTTTCTGGTGCCAAAGTTTAATTAAGATAGAGCTGTGCCCGAACAACGACATAAACGCAAACAAACGGTCAACCCCAATTACCTTGTTGGAAGCTGGCGATAGGGTAATACAATGCAGACTTGTCAACGCTTTATGAAGGACCACGGTCAGGAAAAATACTCCTGCTGTTGTAAATCTTTATCTTACATAGTTTGCATTTACGCGGAATTTAACTTTTTGAACAACTAGGGCGAAACAAGCTCTTTACGCTTTTTTATATTTGTGCAGTGCCAGTGATGAACAAAAGCCAATAATCTAAAAAAGTAAACACCTTTTCCCGAAGTGCTGCCATTAGCTGAGCGGACCTGAAGCAGCCAGATTTGTAGGACGAGCGAAAAGAGAGACACGGACGCAGACAGCGGAGCCACCGGAGCAGCGTTCGCTGCCCAACGCTGGGCATCCAGAGGGCCTCCTCGTCCGCCGGGAGGGCACGACGAGGACACATGGCCGTGCCGGACGGGGGGCGGCTGTCCAGCTGCTGCCTGCTGCTGCTGTTGGGGATGAGCGCGTGCCGAGCGCGGGCCCAGGGTGGCGCGGGGGCCTCCTCGGCACGCGGCGGTGCCGGCGCCGGCCGCTCCGTCGGCTCGGCCTCCTCCCCGTCGGGAGGCGTGGACGCCTCGGGCCGGCGCTACCACCGGCTTCAGCACGGCGCGTGCACCTACACCTTCCTGCTGCCCGAGCTAGGGGCGGCGGCGGACGGCTCCGGCTGCAGGGCGGCCCCGGTGGCGGGGGGCGGCCCCCCCTTCCCGTCGCCGCCGCACAGCGGCAACGCCCTGCAGCGCGACGCGCCCCCGCCCCCCGCCGCCGAGCCCGACTGGGCGCTGCAGCGCCTGCAGCAGCTGGAGGTGGCGATGGAGAACAACACGCACTGGCTGCGCAAGGTAGGCGGCTCCTCCGGGGCTCGCGCCTCCCCCCCCACTCCCTGCTGGCGCGCGCGCGCGCGACCTGCTGCTGGGCTGCAGCCCGCGCTTGACTTAGAGCGTGGCAGGGCCGCCGTCAGTCTCCTATCTGTTGTAGACGCTCCCCCACCCTCCTACCTGCGGAGTTAGCTGAATGGGCAATGATCACGAGCACTGGTTATAACGCTCTCCGGTGAGTTTTAGGATTGCGTCACGATTCGTCCGACGTTTCGCCCCACGTGCTAGGAGATTACATTCAGCTCCGGGCCGTGTCGAGTGAAACCTCGGGCAGGTAGGAGAGCTACGCACGCACGACTACGCAGTGGCATTTCTCCATATGCGTTTCGTTAATTAATTTCATAGACATGATTACAAATTGACCTTCGGGGAAATTCCCATTGACTGGGAGCAGCGCACCTCCAGCCCATTCTGCGACCAGCCGAGATCTTTCCAAGAGCAGCGATGCAGAGTGTGAGAGCCTTGCAGCCCTCTGTAGGGAACAGGGGTGAACCCTGTCACTTAATTTGTGCAGTCTCTTGGACTCGGCAAAATCGGTCCTCGTGATGAGCACAAGGCCCCCGTGGAACGCCGTCACCGTTGGAAGTCGACTCGAGCAATAATGTCAGCCGGCGTCAATTAGGCACACGCACGCACACACACATAGAAAGAAATTAAAATCCACAACCGCTGGCTGAGGCTGGCTCGTGTCGGCCTCATCCCGCATTAACCTCTGGCTGCAAATGCACGCGGCACGCGCCCCTGGCACGGGAGCAGCCAACCCTCCCCCGCCACCTACCCCAGGCACCTAACAGCTGCAGGAGCTAACGATGTGTGTAATTGGTGAGCCCGTGGGACGAGGGCCCACCAGCGCTACGGGCGTGCGGCTCGAGGCGCCGGAATGCCACTCTCTCCAAGTCGCCCGGCTCCCTGTCCGTGGGAGGTTGCCCACCACCACCACCACCACCCCCCACCACCCTCCACCATCCCCCACCACCCCCACCACCACCCCTATCACCCCCACCCCCCCCTTGCTTTCTTTCCTATTTCTTTCCTGTCCGACGGCGATCCGTCTCGCGCGACGCAGCTTTCTGCACCACCACCATCACCACCGTGATCACCATCATCACCACCGTGATCACCATCATCAAGGTGATCGGCCAAAACCGCCAAATGGCTGAAAGCGACAGTTCGAGCATTTCGCGATCGGTCATTAAGTCGCCGATAAAATTAACTGCGGCGTGAATAACGCCTGCGATGTTTCACTTCCCCTCTTGTTTAGTTAAGGCTGCATTTTTTGTTTTTGGCAGCGGCTTTTTTTTGCGCGTGCATAATTTAACAGAAATGGTGGTTCTTCAAAAAGAGAATGGTGGAAACCCCCTCCTCCTCCGCCCCCCCCCCCCCCCCCCCCGCAGAAAATGTCGACGTTGCTTTAAATGTTTGGAAGCTAATTGACCGAGCTCCGCCGACCAAAGGGATATCGGTGACGAGCGGGTTCACAGCGACACCGTCCCTTGCCTCTTCCCATTAACACTTCATTGGGATCGAGGCCAACAACTGCGCGTCTGTTGCCTCTTAACGCACAGACGGAGGGGGTTGGAAGAGTCCACGCGCCGTAAACATCTGCCAAGTAACTTCTTTGAACTTCTGATTTGCTTTTCATGGCAACCCTGCATATTTTTAAATGCATAAACATATTATGCGATGATTTTAAGGAATGTGCGCTCTTCAGTGAGGCTGACCAAATGGTTTCAAGGCGCCGAGGCTATGTTATAGAACTGCACCACCCACTCATCTTGATCATCATCATCACAATCAATGTGAGCCATAATATATCCGCTGCTAGATGAAGGCCTCCCCCACCCCAACCCGAAGCTGTCGCCATCTCTCGTGGTGTCGCGACGCGATAATCCGTCGAGCTGCTGCGCGCAAACTCATTTCACAGCTCCATCTCCTTGGCGCGCGTGCTCAGTCACGTGTCAATGCCCTCCTTTGGTTGTCACTCCGTCTCGACCACCACCACCACCATGAACCACTCAAACAAGCGGCCACACTCAAAAGAGAGTAATACACCACAAGCCTAACGACTCGAATAATGTGCATTTGCGTTCATTTAAAAGTTGTATATTTTTCGTGTGTGTGTGTTGCCTTTGAAAGATAAATTATACTTGGCACTCGGAAAAAGCAGCCCAGAAAGTTAAAACTAATTATGTTGATGCTGCTGCGTTGGCAGCGGTGCACAAGGCACACTTAACAAAACAAAACATCAACACATTCATGTTCTTGGTTATTTCGGTAAAGTCACGTAGAAGGGAAACAATAAAATAATAAAAATATAAAACAATTAAATTATCACGACGTTTCGACTGCAACACAAGCAATCATTATCAGGTGTGAAAACCACAGCAAGAAAATTTGAATAAAGTGACGTTTTTTTCTTTTTTTCTCAACACATCAATAACACCGCGTGGTCTTACAAGGAAGTTATATATAATAGGTGACGTTTCGGGAAAAGCATTGCAGTGTTGTTGCAGACAGTTAAACGTCCGGGGAGATACAAAAATGTCCTTCCTTTCAACGATGTTCACGAATCACTGACATACGGTATTGAATTATATTCTGTGTAGGTGCTGTTTAGGAGAATTACAAGTAAAAGATGATCTTCATAATACGGCATAGAAAATCTCATCCGGGTCTTAAGAGACATTTTTCAGGAGGCCCCTGCCCCTTGGGCTGCGTTTGGCAAGCTGGAAGCCACTGGAGTAGCTGGATATACCCCACGGCATGTGGAGGGACAACACTCACATACCTATCACGGGAGGATTTCAGAATCCATTGTCTGTGACTGTCATGTTGATGTCACTCTGCAGCGCATCATTGCTGCTGGGAGTTTCACAAACCTGTGCCATCCAGCAACCACGAGATGGATTGATTGTTGCATTTTGAGACTGATGACAGATGGCGATCACAGGATAGGCCTTCATCTAGCAGTGGAGAGACCATAAAATATATGTTCTTCACTGAATATTCGTTAACCTCTAGGAACCAACATTCATGAATATTCCCTTGCCCCCTTTAAATATTTGTACCCCCCTTAAGATTTTGTCACAAATAATTTCTTGGTGCGCGTGTAAGTCTATAGCCGTGCATTTTTAACGCAACAAAAACCGTTAAGTTTAGGACCGCTTTCCAAACTTCATTGTAAAACTGTTGCTCAGTTTTAAGTGCAGCAATTCGCTTGTCACTCACTCTTTGTGCTTGGCCCTAACTCTGTCTCCACCAATGTAGCACTTGGCCCTCACATTTATCCCCTTTCCTCAAGCGGCACAAACAAGTAGAGGGGAACAAATGTACCACCGATGGGAATACATTTTCAGGGCAACCGATATATATATTTTATTTTTTTAACACTGCTTCGCTTACAGTCATTTTCGGAGGAACGCATCGCAAGTCACGGCGAGGATATCGTGACCCTGTGGAAGCGCGAAAGTCGATACTCGTTCACAGTTTACTCGAGTCGTGACATACGCGTCGTCAAGTCACGCGTGCGGCACTGTAATGGGTTTACGTAAGCGTATCGCTCGAGGTCCGGCGTAATTTATTAATCGTGGCCACTTTTCTAAAAGCAAAACCCCCGTTGACCGTGGAATGTGGAAGGCGTACGCAGCCATCCAAGGCGCACGCAGCCACCCACTAAACGGATTTTTCCGATGCCCTACTTTTATTTATATTGAGTGCCGCTACGTGGCAACCTCCTTGAGCGACGGGTCATGATGAACAGCTGTCAGTGTGTGTGTCAGTGTGTGTGTCAGTGTGTGTGTGTCAGTGTGTGTGTGTCAGTGTCAGTGTGTGTGTCAGTGTGTGTGTGTGTGTCACAAAACAACCCCCTACCTCCTCGCGGTGCCGGACGGGCAACTCTGTCGTGGACAGCGCTGTGGGGGGAGATCCAATTTTGATTGGCTCCTCCCCTCATGGCATATGTGTCCACCACAGGGGCTAAACGGGGGCTCTGGACGGGTGCGAGGGGCTGGTAACCCCTCCACCTTCAATTAATTACCACGAAACTACGAATTAAACTGAAATATGTAACAACTAAGCTTGTGCCGGAGGCCCTGGGGGGCCAGGCGTCTATGACGTCTCCTGGCCAAACCCCAATTGGCGGAGCCAGGAGATTGAATACCTACCCTCGGGGCTACTCCAGAAACAACGAAAAGCCACTACGGTTGGCCACGTGGAATGTTCGAACGCTCACTGCAGAGGAGAGGCTGCCACTCCTCTGTCGGGAGCTGGACCGGTACCGCCTGGATCTATGCGGCATTCAGGAGGTCCGGTGGACCGGCTCTGGCTCCTGCCACCATGAGGGGTGGACAGTCCTCTACTCGGGGCAGCAGACTGCCAAACAACAGGGTGTGGGTCTTCTTTTGAACAAAAGAATTAAGGGGGCGTGGGAGCGTGGCGGTGAGGTGTGGGAAGCTGTAAGCCCCAGGCTACTTTGGGCTCGCCTTCCCATCAACCGGAGGCGAGGAATGGTGGTCGTGGTTACTTATGCCCCCACCGAAGATGAACATCCGTGGAGGGATGCAGGCAAAGCCGATGAGTCAGATGCCTTCTATGACCTCCTGTCACAGGTGCTGGCTAAAGTGGCCCCTCGGGATAGAGTCATCATGTTGGGTGACTTCAATGCCCGAGTTGGTCATGATACTGGCACCTGGTCTGGAGTGATTGGAGGGCATGGGCCAGATCAGCTCAATAACAACGGTAGGAGGCTGCTAGATTTTTGTGCAGCCCATGGGCTTGTAATTACCAACACGCTGTTCCGGCATCGGCGCATCCACACAACATCATTGGATGCATGCCGGGTCCAAGCAAGAACATCTGCTGGACTACATAGTGACGGACCAGCGAATGCGAGCCCATGTCCTTGACACCAGGACCTACCGTGGAGCTGATCTGCACTCTGACCATCGACTAGTCATCTGTAAGAT